TTATCGTTAAAATATTAACGAATTTCAGAAATTCCAGACTTCCAGGTCATGGATTTTGAAAAAAATAGTCATGGGAAGTCATGGAATTTTAAATCGGAGAAAGTGTACGAACCCTGACAAGACTGGATATTTGATTGGCATCCAGTCTGCCCATTTCATTTTTTAGCAGGCTGGGATTGGTTATAGGAAATCCAATAGTGCAAAGGGAAAGATGTATTTTTGGTTCACTGATGTGAACAAAAGTAAAACATTTTTGACCTTGAACAGGACAAGGACCTCTATGACAGTTGTTGTCAACATGCATATATATAGAGAGAGACTCCTAACACAGATTGACACAGACATCAAAACAAGTTGTTTGGTCTAATATTCTTTTATTAAAACTGTAAATAGTATTATATTGTAGCTAGCAACTCAAACTACATTTGTTGTGACGTTGTCATTACAGTATTTACAAAACAAATTGTTTTTATTCTATTAATATTAAACTATTCTGTTTATATGATGTAAGTTATAGACTTTATATAGTGTACAAATATATGATGTGTGTGTTTCATAGACTTACTTATGGAAGGAAAAGCGAATACCATCTTTTAAATCCCCACGTCTGCCTTGTACTAATACGATGAACACGATTCAGGCCGACATTCAAGCATTCTTTTCGATAAACCCCCCAGATATTTTAATAGAATAGAAAGCCCTAGAATTTTCAGATGAAAATACTGTATTTTGGTCGAAATAACAATGAAAGAACAAAATAAACAGTAGTAGCTTTTGGAATAGTTAGATATATATCACATTACTTGAGAAAAAACTCGTAAAAGACTGAAGGAATAAACAGGAAAAAACCGAAGACGAAAAGCGCGCGAAACTGCAGGCCTGCCCAATCTTGCCCGCTTGAATTGTAATTTGTAAATTGTATTGATTGTACCAAATATTCATCCAAAACCTTCACACCAGTTAGTTCTTGCCGAAATAAAGTGATAGAACGGGATCGGAAGCTGTAGGACGACGCAAAATGCAAAAAACATGGTTTTTCCCTATGTTGTTCTATGATTTTTGCCCGGTTGAGCCGCCATCTTGGATTTTCAAAATATGTCACGCCGGTTGAGCCGAGTCAGCAATCTAGGTCTCCTATATCTATGGTTAAAATATGTTTAAAAAACTTTTTACACTGATGTATGTTTGCAGAAAAACAAAAAACCTGGAAAACTGTAAAGTTCAATTTGGTGACTGCATTGAGTTAGTGTGTCTTCAACAGTTAGTCTGATCTTACAAATGTTAAAAAATGTGAATTGTCTTGTTTCAAGATTTACACAGAGGAGGTTGGACAGCAGGCCGCAAAGCGTCATGGGTATTGAGTGCCTAATTCCACGTAGTCGCTTCATTGACTGTTGACTGTCGAGGAGTGCACATCTCTGACCCAACCAATATATGGAAGCATAATTGGAACGAAAAGAGTGTCAGGCTGCGATACTTTGTGAAAACAGCATGTTATTGTTGTATTGTTGCGATCATCATTATGACTTGTGTTTTACTATATCAAGTTTACCTTTTTTAAAATTGCATGGGACGTGCTGTCATTTTAGCTTTTATATAAATAAACCGTCTGAGAAAAGGAATTGTGTTTAATTTATATTCCCAATAGCGAGGCTCTTCTTTCTATTAAAGTTGGATGGCATTAATCTCCGTGTATCGTCAACGTGAAAACAAGATGCATTACAGTTATCGTGTTATTTTATAGTCAAATTTCCGCTTTGTTGTTTTTATTCGTGTACTGTAATTTTATAAATACACTGTACAAAATTATGGCGTCATACATGCGTTTATCTCTAGTTTGACCCTATTGTGTGTGTATATGTACTGTCTGACTGTGATACATATGTTATATGTACATGTTTTGAGTTAAACGAATTGTTTAATAAATTTTTGCTGAAGTATGATGCCTGTTTGTATGGATAGATTTTACATATATGTGCATACAGTAGTTACATTTTTCAATTTTTATCTGTACAATATTGCCATATTTGTGTGTTGTTCTAATATTACTAAAAATAATGACACACATTTGCATTCGATTTGCTAATTTTAGAGATTACAGTGTATATATAAAATAATAAAATAAAAATTTTCTTGTTATGATTTTGTAGAAAGAGATCTACTTGAGTGGTTGACTGGTCTTGAACCTGGTCAGGATGGATATGGTAATGAAGATGATAGGGCAGAAAGTGGTGACCAATTAAGTGATGAGGATGAAAGTGACGAGGACGAAATCACCCATGCTGTACCACTCAAGTGCATCGGTGCTCCTCACATGACAAAAACTACCAACATCATTTGGAACAGGCATACCTTGCTCTTCATGGACAAGATAAACCAGTCAATGTAAGAATGCGGCCAGAGCCATTGGAATCCAATGGATCCAAGTGCAATTGCAATTGATGTAGACTATGGAACTGGATGGACACATGTTGGTTATATTGCTTCTGAACTATGCAAATATTTGCACCCACTAATTGTCGCAGGAGTCTATGTTCAGCATATCAAGTATAGGGTCGACTTTTTTAATTAAAATAGGATTTTATCCAAATATTTTCATAAAGCGACGTGGTGAGTGGGAGACTCAAGTAGCAAGTTAAAGAAATGTAGTTATTTCAATTAGCCTTTCTCACGCCACAATTTTTGGGTGGCTTTTCAGCTGAAGTCTGCGAGATAAGTCCACATAGCAGCGACTTTTTATAATTTTTTTGACGTATTATGGTAAATTTGCTTTGTAAGTCGTTACTTTATTTTGAAAAATTGCTTTTCACATTGTTTTAATTGTCTGCATTGGTTAACGAGAATTATATGCCACCCAAAAATGGCGGATATTCGTCATCGTGAGACAGGCTAATTAGCCTTTCTCACGCCGCCATTTTTGGGTGGCATTTCAACCGAAGTCTGCGAGAGAAGTCCACATAACAGTGACTTTTTATAATTTTTTGGACGAATGATGGTAAGTTTGCTTTGTAAATGGTTAGGTTGTTTTGAAAAATTGCTTTTCACATTGTTTTAATTGTCTGCATTGGTTAACGAGAATTGGATGCCACATAAAAATGGCGGATATTCATCAACTTTTTTTCAGCATGTTTTAAACAAAAACTAGGTTAATTTAATCATAAGTGGGTGCAATTAAAACAATGTCTGTCATGCACACTCGTGCAATTAAAGTACATAATTGTAACATGTGCTGTACTAAATGAATAAATAAATACAGTCGAACCACTATAAGCGGACACCTCTCTTAAGCGGACACCTCTTTTAAGCGGACACATATCTCAGTTCCTATTCGTTTTCTTTAATAAAATACTATTATCATAACCCCTATTAAGCGGACACCCCTCTTTAACGGACGCGGACACCTGACTTGAGGTCCCAATGGGCAAATCAGGTTGATTTGCCCATTGGGACCTCAAGTCAGGTGTCCGCGTCCGTTAAAGAGGGGTGTCCGCTTAATAGGGGTTATGATAATAGTATTTTATTAAAGAAAACGAATAGTCTTGATTGTCTGATAAAATGTATTCAATATTCGACAATAAATAACAATTGAGATCAATTTACATGGCACATTGACAGTGACACACCAACTTGGCGCGAAGACATCAGAGCCAAGATTATTGAGGAAGTGACGAACGAGGAAGGAGGACTGTGAACCGCCACCCGAGGAGCCGAAAGATGTGTCAGATCACTGATGATGACAACGAACTGAACGAAGATGATGAATTTGACTGGTCTCTTAACGAACCAGTCATTAAATCGTCCTCCGAAGCCCTTAAAGTTGTCGAGCAGCTGGCAGAATTCGCAGAATTTTGAGGTTTGGAAGAACTTTCCAACGCCATTTTTATGCAAATGACATTATAATGGCTATCGTCTACGTGAGCCTCGAAAGCAAACTTCTATCGAGTCCTTTTTTATATGACTGTGAGAGACGTATACATTTTCTAATTAACTTTTATGTACAAATAAAGTTTCATTTTATGCTAATTATTTGCTAGATATTTTTTACTGTTTTGATACTCAAACTACACACCTAATTACACACCTTTGCCTCTTGTTTTGTTTTTCTACATACCCCTTTTAAGCGGACGCCCCTTTTAAGCGGACACTTAGGCGAGGTTCCGAAGGTGTCCGCTTAATAGGGGTTCGACTGTAGTTTATACATTCACTTGGCCAACTTTGTGAGTAAATTTTCATTAAAATTAATGCAACAATAAAACAAAAATATGTCTATTTATATGCAGATTAATCAAAGCCAAAGGTCTCACAATAACATGCTGCGGATATTTGTGGTACATTACATGAGAATACAAAAATTAATATAAGAACCACCATTTCTCAAACTTCATCTGAATTAGTTGTGTAACAGCATTACAAAATACTGTTAAAAAAGGCCAAGTGGACCTTCACTGCAAAGGGCATTCTATCCAATGACATTCTAGGAACAACATTTGCATGGCGTTGTTCTTCAAAGCATCGAGCAGCGTTATAAATCAGATTGTCTTTTTTACAAGCATAAATTTCAGACATAGCCTTGGCAACAAGTGGGAGAAAATTTTGAGGGACAAATTTAGCATGTAAACCAGGGTTAACTTTTACCAGCCATTTTTGAAACAGGTGGATAAGTAGTTGTTCTCGTTGTCGTTGGGTTAGTTTTGACTTTCGAAAATCCAGAAGTGATCATATTAATAACATTGCCAGGGAGGTGAACAAGGTTTTGGTCACTTGATGTAGACAATCTTAGCATCAGAGATCTTGCGCTCAGATGTAGAAGGTTTGGACAGATTGGAAGGACCGATATTACTTCCAAATTTAATGATGATGCTTAAGGTGGCTCCCTACAGTTTTAGATCTGTGTCCACGCATGAGATTAGTAGTGCTACACGCAACACACGTGTTCGACGTTGCACGCGTGGCGGTTTTTTTAAATTGCGTCGTGATATACACGCGCGGGCCTCATGGGATTGTCGGCTAGTCGCGCGAGGAAATTGAAATCCTGATTTTTGTGATGTCACATAAATAAAAATAGGTACGCACCGCGTACATGTGGCTGGCCTATTCACCCTGTTTAATACAGTAGGAGTTCACATTGTCATAAACATTCATGACAAACATTCATTGTGATACAAAATTAATAATTACAATAGAATAATGGTCAAAATAAAACAGATGCAGTATCTTACTTACAATGTCAACAAATGGCTAAAACAGTCACTCGATTTAAAAGCAATGGTTGAGAACAATGGTGCAGCCAACAATGTGAACAAGTGTGAGTCACACTTTAATTAATACATGTTTTGTTTTAATAACAAGACGCTCTATGGAGCTTTAACTCGCTGGGGTTATACAAATACGCACATTACTGTACATGATCACACATAATACATACAGTACACAGCTCTTTTAATTAAGATACAAGGTTCTCCCCCAGCTAAGCGGAAAAGTCGAAAACGAGCGCGAAAGCTTAACACAGTACTAAAATGCGGTAGGCCCACCCTACACGTAAAGTTATATCAGTTCAAAACTGTCAGCCGCCAGTTGGTCCGTACGCTAGGATTAAACTGCGCTTTAAAACGTTCAAAATAGAATATTTTTGGGCTTAAAATACTATCAAAATGAAAAGAGAAATGAGACGAATCCACTGGTATACGTACAGCCGAAAAAGAGAAAATCAATGATATGATACTAAAGTTATCAAGGATCAAACGTATTGCATTTTTTTTTATAATTAGTTTAATAATTTTGAGCGATTTGTCAACAACAAAGACCATAAATCGCTAGAATACTGTTGTTTAGTAATACATTTGACATCCGTAATTAGTACAATTTCTAACGCTGAATCGAACGGTGGTATTTTTATCCTTATTGCGCCATTAGGCATTACAAAACACTATGAAACGTACTGCGAGTGATTTGTCAACAAATACGTACTGCGAGCGATTTGTCAACAATTAAACAATACAATTTGACCAATTTCGCTTGATTTTCAAAGGCCATAAATCGCTAGAATACTGCTGTTTAGTAATACATTTGACATCCGTGAGTACAATTTCTTACGCTGAATCGAACGGTGGTATTTTTATCCTTATTACTCGATTAGGCATTACAAATACAAGAACAAACGTAGCGAGAGTGATTTCTGAACAATAGTACGTACTGCGAGCAATTTGTCGTACAATACAATTTCGCTTGATTTTCAAAGGCCATAAATCGCTAGAATACTGGTGTTTTGTAATACACTTGTAAGTACAATTTCTTACGCTGAATCGAACGGAGTCGCTTTCTTCTCAAAATATAAAGCAGCGCAGCCAAACGTATATAAAACCATAGTATAAACTTGCGATTTGCGAAGGTTGCTGTTTCCATGCGAAATTCCTTGTAAAATTGTTCAATTTTCCGGAATTTTCCTCAAAATGCAGGGTTATTTATGGATAATTTGGGTAAAATTGGCAGGAGGCTTATGGATAATTGGGGAAAAAATTAGGCAGCTCATTAATATTCTATTTTGTGGCTATCAACGAGGATCTAACATCCACCATGTGTGCCGAAACCTATACTCGCCTAGGGCACAGGTGCCCCAGCGAGTAATAAGCATATACAGCAACTAATGATGTCAATTTATTGCTTTTCAAAATTTCGCTTTACAAAATTATAGGGCCATATTGATATAGTAAGAGGTATTGTTAATGCATGTATAAACAATCCAGTAACTCATTAAGATTATTTGAATGGGTTTCTTGTTACAACTATATTCTGGTATCTGGTTTAAAAGTAATTAGATTTTCTTGAATTGCTCAGCTGGCATCGCAGATTTCATATATAACCTTTAAATTCAAAGTTCTTCATTAATATTAATACTAGATAGATTTTTGAACATTTTTATTTATTGTAAGATCTAATAGCATCGGAATTTTATTTATAATGAACTCATCCAATCACCACTAAAACTTTTGTGTGACACTTGTACTGCAAATTGTTTAATTAAAAAGAACAGGCAGATCGTAAGACTGAAAACAACATTTAACTCTAGCTATAAAAGTATGAACATGCTACTTAATTGATACTGCTGTTAAATGCTGGAAAGAAAGGTTGAAACTTGTCGATATGATCTCGGAATAATGGTTGTGCGTTTGCTTCTTCATATACCCTCACAACTGCAATATTCAGTGTTGTGTGGTAATTACACTGATCTTCAGGGACATAGCGAAGCATCTGAAGTTGGGGAGAGGGTGGCAGAGGATTTTACCTGAAATTTGAATGTTAAAAATTTACCTGATGTGTAATAATTATAATAGAGCTCTTCCTGATTGATTTCCACTGTCATACCAAGTTTCCAAAGAAAAGGGGGTCTGGGGTCCCACCCCCCCCTCCCTCCAATGTTTACATTTTTGAAGCTCCAGAACTGCATTTCTGGCGTTAACATTTCCACTAACAAGAAACAAAATACATTTCCACTCGATTATTTCTATGTACAATACCATTCAGCTGTACGTAAACAGACTTAGCTTCCATTCCACTGTGGGTGAAATTGTGGTGGGAGACAATCCTTGAACAACAAATCTCAATAATAGCACCCATATTTGCAGTCAGAGCGATGTCAGTGACTACAATGGTAATACAAAATAGTCCGGCCTGTTTTCGGTGTTTATAAATAATTGTAGTTTTATACCTGAAAGTTGATATGGCAGTTACAGTATAATACCCGCACAATGCAGGTATATTAAAATTCAAGATCTATGCAAGCACGTTTGATAATTTATAAACGGGATTAATCATGAAGTAATATTAAAGCTTTATATGAAGCGTGATCAAAATCTCTTTGACCAGAGGCAGTGTCCAGAGCAGACATGAATAGCAATGACATGCAGATTGAATCACAACTATAAACACAAATATCGATTGAAATAACAAAGATTAACTTACCGTTTACTTTAACTGAAAAATTCCTTTGAGTATTTCTGTCAATTCTACCTGCGTTGCCAACTGGCAACTGTGATTTTGTATACATCGCGGACTTTCGCGGACATTTATATTTCAGCATTAGTCATGACATGAACGACAGTTTCCGAAGTAAAGTCGACAATTTCCGTCACAACTCTTACACTTTTAGCGTTACATAATGGCTAGCCTGCGAACGGGCTAGCCACAAAAATAAATATATTTTTCTCGTGTTTCCTTTGGTAAAATTTTTAAAACTTCACACATTTTCCTGTAATCTTGAAGTGCGTAAAATACGCAAATTTTAAGAAAATTTTAATATAAAAATTACAGAACTTTTTTTATTCCAAAAACAGGGCTTTTTGAGGATTAAAAAAATTCTCGTAAAATTTTTTTTAATTAATGCTGTGATTTGAAGAAATTATAGATAAGATTACTGTGTGCAAAAAATTAAAAAGTTTTGCCGAAGAAATTTATCAAAGAATCTGCAAATTATCTGAATCTGAATCTTAAAATTGCTTTGTTACCATGGCAACGGAGATTTTTAACAACATTTTTATTTTTCGTAATTCACGATATTGTAGCAGTTATGTCACAGAATATAAAGGTACACAGAAGGTCGACTCGAGTAACCGCTGCCACGCCATGATTCATCATCAAAATGCTGACGCCATGTTCCAAAGGCATCCCCCCCTGGACGTCCGCCATTTTGAATATTATCAGGGGGTGAATGCCTCTCAAACGCGCACTGGCTACAACCATGACGTCAGCATTTTGATGTCGAATTACGTTTACGCCAAAATCATAGGAAAATCATAGGAAAAACAAAGAAGTCGACCTTCTGTGTGACTTATATATTCTGTGGTTATGTGGCCGAGTTTCGTGATCATACTTTGCACGATCAGAAAATAATGGTTTTTCAGTGAATACAATTGTGTGCTGTACAATCAAAACTGTAGGGAGCCACCTTAAGAGGCAGTCTCTGTAAGAACCTCATGACCTCTTTGGAACAAGAAATAGATTTCTCTCAAACTTTGTACTTGGATTGCCCTTATATGGGTTGTTTCAAAATGCATTTTGTTTTTGAGTCTAATTGCATTTTGACAAAGTTCAAGAAGGGTCAATTTGAGGGCTAAGATTATAATTTTTGCTGTTTCTCAATAGTGGATTTTTACTGATTTTTAAACCTTTGTGCATCAAACAAAAGTAATAATAAAACTAAACCCTTGCACACAATAGTAGCTTTATATGTCTTAAGTAACAAGGTATCTACAAAATTTTCAAATATGTTTTCTAAATATAGAAAATACAGATTTCGAACTTGAGAAAAATAGAGATTTCGAAGTTCCCTAAAATAAAACCCCTAAAATTCAAAAGTTGGACTTGCCATGAATGTAATATTATTTGGATGCTGAAATTAAAGGTTGGTCTTACATAAGTAAAATTAAATATTGCGGCCTGTAAATTTTGGGGGCACTACAGGCCAACAAAACATTAACATTTTCGACTTTCGGAAGTTTAGATCAAATAAGAATTAATGTTTACTGTACTACTGTAAACTCTGGTTTCAAAGAGCGAAATTTTACTTATTATTTTGTAAATATATATATATATATATATATATATATATATATATATATATATATATATATATATATATATATATATATATATATGTATGTATATGTATATGTATATGTATATGTATATGTATATGTATGTATTTTAATTGATGAAATTATAATTCCATGAGAAATCTGTGATGCCAAGTCCTTGTCAATGTCTGGTTATCTATATTATAGCAAAGGTTTGTAAAATTATGGCAAAATATTAGTAAATTTTAAATCACATAGTCGTTTCTCAAATGAATTATTTAAGGTACACATGAGATTAGACAATTAAGGCGCTTTTGTTGAAATTGCATTTATTATAAGTACTTGTATTCCAAAGTTAGATTTACAAATTATGCTAATTTCTAACTTTGTTGGAAATCTCCTGTAATTCAATATTTCAGTATTCTGTGAGGCACAGCAAAAAGTTCATACTAGTACTTGTTGAAGCTTTTCACGTATTGTTCAGCATATTAAATTTTAACATTTCATTTCCCTCCAGCAAGACGGTCAGTATGTGAAACAAAATAATACTGAAAGTATTTCATCCTGGTAGTTCAGTATTTCAGCTAATTTTTCTACTTGGCAAGTTTCACAGAATTATGAATCTAAAACAGGATATTGGCAAAAATATACTGGTGCAAGTCTAGCTATATCAATTGGTTACAATCTATTACTTATTTAGTATAAGGCTGGCTTAAGATTATTGGCGACTTTCACTACAAGGTTACGTAATCTCAATCGAAAAAACGAACTGCACATAACATGATACTGAATGATACTCTTAGTATCATTTTGAATTTTTATTTAGGCGGATCAAGTTCGATGACCGATCCAACATAGACATCGTTCTGAAACATACAGTTAAATATTGTTGACTGTCATTCTTTCTAACATAATCAGTATTTTAATTTAAAGTCACGTAACTTCTTAATTCATGTTATACCTACTAGCCGTGTTAGCTCACAAAGACATGAATAAACCTCAGTAGCTTCGTTATAACAAATTATCTTCAAACTGTGTCATGTTTGCATTTCAGGTTAAATCTGAAATCGGCGATTTAAGAAATTCAGAAAATCGCCCATATTGAAATCAGGGATTAGCTAAGACCTTCTCTTGGGGCGGTGAGTGTAAGTGTGAAATTTTTAATGTTTAGACTTTCAGAAAGCATGGAAAAGCAACTAAAATGTGGCATTCTTAGCATGTGTTCCCTTTTAACTTCCGCTTTGCCTGTCATGCAATGCTCTTAAAATTTGTCTGATTTATGGTGTAGATCACTAAAATATTTAATTTACCTGCAATTACTCACGAGGGAGCTATAGCTACGGCCCTTATTCCAATGAAGAAAAGTGAAATCAGTTGGCACAATAGTTATCAACACTTGTGTCAGTGTAATGACAAAAAATTAAAAAATAGGTTGAAAGGATTTTGTTAATTTCGTCAATCCGTCCCAATGAACTATCCTAAAAGCAACCTCGGAGTAGATAAGTTTCCCATATTCATTCCTACTATAATTCCCTGTTTAAATGTGCATATACATGTATACTTAAAGAGTATTACAATATTGATTTTCCATAATTATATATTTTGCTATAAGATATCCTGATTAAATAATTTTCGCCTTCCTAAAAGCTACATTCATGCACTAATTAAACTAGTATAGAATAAAGAAACAATGCTGTGGATCAAGTCATTGTAGTCAAACGTCCCATCCGGATCGAAATAAATGAGAAGCGGAACGTTTACATCGGCACAGGAATTACCTTGCAGGAGAGCAAAATCGCGCAAAGAGCCCATACCTCACTGATAAGATAAGTGAGATAACTAAGGGAGTTGGCATCAGGGAATGAATCAAGGAATTAAGAAACTATGCTTTGCAGCACGTATATTTTGCTGCACAATACCCTCAAATTTAGTGATTCAGAATTTAAAATTGTCTTGGAGGAGCATGCACCCGAAACGCCTCAGGTTGAACACACACAGAAGAAAAAAATTATTTCCTGTAAGAACTCATCCCCTGTCGGGGAACGTAGCGCCCTTGTCGATTTAAGACTTTGACTTGTCTTATCCTGAGCGACACAAAACACTCAAATTACTTCCAGTATCTTACTGGATGTAAAGGACCTTCTGTTCTATTTCAAGTGTTTATACAAGGTGTTTATGATCAGATGTCTGTCTGTCTCCGTGTCTTGCACACGTACAAACCAACAAAGGATAGTGACTCCAAATCTTTGCAGAACTTCTTTTTTTAGGGACTAGTTTTTCAACTGGGTTGTTTTCCTTTGGAACTTACAGTCTTCCCTTTCGTATTGTGTATTCTCACTACCTTTCCAAAATTGAATCTACCTTTGACGTCAATACAATGGAGGGCTCTTGGAGGACTTATTTCTCCAAGTGTCGTCCCTACGACCAAGATTGTTGCTTTTATATTAGTATTTGTTGCTTTCATGTTAATATGTGTTCAAATATATCTGTGTGTAGATGATTGTATCTCATTCTTGGGTTGTTGTCATTCTTGGGTTGGTCTTAAAATAGGATTCGTGTCCTGTTTACGTACTATACTACCAACCTTATTTGTCCTTCATCTATAGGTGTATATTCTTAATTTAATATCCATTTTTCATGTATGTAAGGTTTTAAGGTTAATAAATGTGTCCAAATAATAATTACTACTTGTGTCCAAATGCTATTTACTGCAACATTATAAACGAAATGGTGACGACTATAATATTTTCATGCTTCGGGGCTTTGGAAGAATCCCATCGGGCAAAATGACGTTTATCCAACGTTGAATCACCGTTGGAAATGACCTTCCAGACGTTGGATAGACGTTGAAATAGGGTTGACTATGCAAATTGGATCGACGTTACTGTTTCGACGTTGAAACAACGTTGAAATTAGGTTGCCAAACTCGTCAACCATAATTCAACGTTGAATCCACGTTAAAACAACGTTGAGATTGGTTCACAAATCGACGTCGTACATTTAACCATGAATGAACGTTAATTCAACGTCTGTTGACTGCTGTTGAACCAATGTTTGTAAAACAACGTCAGAGCAACGTATATATTAGGTTGTCGACGTCGCAACCTTTTTTCTACCAAATTTCAACGTTGAAACAACGTCGTGTGCCCGGTGGGATGTAGATCCTAATTAAAATGCTTGTATCACGGATTGCAGAGACTAATTTACAATAAGTACTCCCAGAACGGACTGTATAATTTTGGAGCCGCTCATAAAAATCTTCAGGAACATTAAGACGAAGAAATTTTCAAATATTAAATACAGAAATTTTCATCCATTCTTAATATCATGAACGATTTCCAACGCAGTCAAATAATCTTTTCAGCTTGCCCGGCGTGGACACACTCAGAGACAATATCACAAACATATATCTTCATTTGAGTGTATAACACCGGAAATAAAAACAATTTGAGGTTACCACGATGATAGCTGTTTCAAGTGAAATAAAATACTTACAGTAACGAAGTGAATAGCCGAGGTTACCCAGAAATTCAAATTCTACGACATTTGTCTTAAGTTTATGAAAGTCTTGCTACTGGCTGTTCATCCATACTTATTTTCCCGAACGTGTTCGTGAATTTGGCAGTGGTCGTCGTTCAAGTTTGTGTGCAAAACTCTCACGGCAGATTGGACAGCGTGTGCTGTGAAAAAAGAAAACGGAAAGTGTTAGTGTGTTTCCGAAAGTCTAGTTGATGGTAGTGCGAAATTAGAAAGATATCAAATATAGCAATGTTAGACAGGAGAAATAGAAACTTTAGAAACCGTTTTTATGATATTGAATGTTTTAAATAAAAAAGAAAGCAAGGTTATTTGCAAGCGAGAATTTGAAATCATTTTATTGCAAATTCAAAAGTTTATCGATACAGCCATTTTAAAAGTCAGTTTAGTTTTATAAAGAACACTAGTGACTTTAAAACGTTTTGCGAAGCATTTGTGATTGAATTTTACCTTAAATTGAGGCTTATATTACGTATAATAACATACCTAACATATATAATTTGTTGGGAAATTAACAATTTTGTAATTAAAAGCATAGGCAGCTCAAAACGGCGTGTATAATGCACCAAATGCTTCCAAATGTCAATTTATATTAAGCTCGCCCCATTTCTCTGTCATTTGTCGCGCGCCGCAAGCACTCAACTGAAAAGTAGTGTTGATATATATAGATATAACCGTTTTGGGCTGCCTATGTTAAAGGTGATATTTTTAGGCGATTTTTCACTTGTAAGAATATTCTTAAGAAATTATCGTGTTACCATGACAACTACTGTAGATACTTCATGTTTGGAAAATACAATGGTTTTGTCAGCAAGGCGAGGGTTTCTGCATGCATGTATTTTCTAGTAGTAGTATACATATTTCAAAGCATTTATAGTAATACTAAAAAATATATGCATGCAGAAACCCCTCGCCTTGCTGACAAAACCATTGTATTTTCCGAACATGAAGTATTTAACGTAGTTGTCATGGTAACACGATAATTTTGTGAAGAATGTTTTTACCGAAAAATCCCTGAAAAATATCACTTTTAATTAATTATAAAATTATCAATTTCCCAAACATATATATGTTAGGTTTGTGATTATACGTAATATAAGCTTCAATTTAAGGAAAAATTCAAACTCAAACGCTTTGCAAGACGTTTTAAAATATTCTTTATAAAACTAAACTACCTTATCGAAAAACTTTGATTTTGAAATAAAATTATGTAAAATTCTCGCATTCAAACAACTTTGCTTTCTTTTTATTTGAAAATTTTAAGATAAAAAAAGGGTAATCAATAAGGAAACACTGAATTTATATGCTGCCTGTTTCACTTAAAATATACGCAACGTCAACGATCAGTTTTTCTGCAATTATAAAGCGAACAATACTGCATCAATATTTAAAACAAATCTACCTTCGTTAACGTCGGCGCCTTTACTCCCTTCCTTTAACAATTCTTTCGCCTTTATTTTTTAAAAAGCTTAAAAACTTTTGATTTGACCAATCAGTGCTCGTTATTCACGACAGTCCGCCATATTTTTGAGATCAGTGAGGATGACCACCCATCGTTGGTCACCCACACATGCGATCATTGATGAGCTTCAGACAGCGCTAATGCTTTCGTTTTCCCGGGTGTAAATACCGGGCGGAATTAGTACCTTCGCCCCGGGCTTACGGGCGGAACGGCGCTCCGCGCCGTTAAGGTCCAGACACACCGGACGCGATTCGACAACGCGACGCGATCTTTCGATTTTCACTGACCGATAACTTTGATCTTAGTTTAAATTTCCAAATATTCAGAAACGCTATAACATTTTGAGTTATTTGGTCTGCATATCTTTCAAAATTTGTTCTCATTGGCTGTTTTATTAACATTCAAAAACTAAAAAATCGCGTCGCGTTGTCGAATCGCGTCCGGTGTGTCTGGACCTTTAATTGGCTCAGGGGGAAATATTTCGCCAAACACAAGTGTGACCTTTCATTAATACTTCGAGAACAAGTGTAATTTCCTATTAATATAATTTTAGTCAATTTTACATGAGTAATTGGCAACGACAAGAAACATTGTATTAATGTATTCAAGCGAGCTTCATATACCAGTGAAAAAATGTGAATAATTTTTACTTCTTCTTTTTCTTCATTATTCAAACATAATCAAAGCGGTCATGGCAAAATAAGAGCTCAAAAATATCAACCTCGTTCCCAGGGCATTTTGCCTCCACGGCTGAAGGTCGGCGAAAATGACCCTGGCTAAGCTTTGAGCGTTTTTCGAAAAAAATACGCGACTTTTAATCGTAATTGACAAGGTTTTTAACCAATCAGGATCGAGTAATTAACTAATAATTATGATATTAGTATTATAACTAGTCATTAGTATAGACAATTATGTGACGATGAGCGCAATAACATAGGATAATCAGTACGAATTATATTAGAAAAATATTGCCAAAATTGCATGAGTCGCATGAAAAACTTTTTCAAACATCACAAGCATTGTTATTCCTTATTTATTTTGTGAACTTGTTCATTTGTAAGAAAAATTAGCGAATTTCTTTCACGTATGCCTTTCAAAACACACCAGCTGACTTTCTTTAAAGCCTTCAATATATAATACTGGATACTCACTGGATTCAACGTACGATACTAAACATACCATGCAATTACATGCATTACTTGCTTTCCAATCTTACTGAACATAACAAATTTACAAATATACACTATAATGTAGTCACATTCCGCTGCGTATCATTTGAGTTGCACATTCTTTGTGCACTTTATGAGAACAAGGAAGAATTTGGCATCCAGTGAAAGCATCCTATAAGCAAAAAATTTTAAATCTTTTTTTAAAAAGACTTAAAAGTACTGGTTAAAATATATATATTCTTGAATGGTCTGTTCCAGTGTAGGTATAGTGTCATTAAAGCCGGTTTTCCACTTCAAGCGTACCGTACCGAAACGTATATCAAAAACGTTTTTAAATTTCAAAATTTCGTGAATGTTGATTGGTTAGTACTGGTTAGTACAAAAAGTTGACTTGCGACGAACTTTTTATTTTGATACGCGAATACACCCGGAAGTACGTGGATTTATAAACCTCTTTTCAATCTGCGCATGCTCACCATTAAGTTTCGGTACGGTACGGGCGAAGTGGAAAACCGGCTTAATAAGACTACTTCGGATTGATAGGGATACAACTACCTGAAAAAAAAGGAGAACTTCAACGTTTTGAGCGAAGCCCTTAATTCGTCGAGAAATTAGTATACTGTCACAAAACGAAGTTAGTGGGTATTAACTTCCCGACGAAGGGCGCACGATACGTCGAAGTTCTCCTTATATTTTTTTCGGTGGTTGCATCCTTATCAATGCGAAGTTTGGGTTACAGTTTTAACTGCCGATCTTTATACAGTATGTATTTACAATGACGAAAGGGCTTGTAAATTTGTTTTTAATTTCATGACTTGCGGATCATGATGGCATCTCACGTTCATTGTGATTTTCCAACGGAAATTATTTTCACTAGTTTTCCATTGTTATTTGGTCCATGGCCAAAAATCAAGGACATAGTTTCTTCTATACTTCCTTATACTAATTTGCATATCACTTTGAAATATGGCTCCAACAGTATATAGTAGATTGTACAACGCGATGTTGTAAATGCAAAATCTGAGAATATGGTAGATCCTTTGCAACTTGCCGAAATCGCTGGTTGCAAAACAAAGCCTGTTGAAGAATTTACTGTAATATTAGCCTGATTTAAGTTACTACCATTCCTAGTTTTTCTAAATTTGTACAGAGATGAACTTTTAACTACATAAAAATATAAAAATACCGCACTAGGAATAAACTAAAATATTTATAATATTTTTGCCATGTGGAAATTTAAAAATTCAAAAATGACCTTTATTGCGACTTGCAAGTGTGCACATGCGACCAAAGTACAGCGTCGTAGTTCCAGTTTCACGCATTTTGTGCCCGCTGGAACCCGATGAATTCAAATACGTAAAGAAAATGCTTGATCATCATGGTCCATTTAATGTATACATTGTTAGAACAAATATAGTTACTGGGAATGTAAGTCCGAAAATATGAATTGAGAGGCAACGGGTATAGACATGCGATCGCCTGCGGTAAGGCATATACATTGATACACTACCTCCAAATAAATGCAACATTCATCATGTGCAGAACCTTCACGACATTTGTGATTTCCACGAAGTTGGACATCCAAACAAACACCACAGACATCACAATGGAACGAACGGTCTCCATGAATTCTAAATTAAAATAGAGTGTTTCACTGAATTTATTTCTACTACTGCGAAAGCTCCATCAGTTTTAGACTGTTTTGCCCAGTGGACCAGTAAGGTCCATCCTTAGCTCAGTAGTGGAAATTCTTGAATGGCTACTGCATCTCGTGCATTCTGATTGGCGAATTTAAACGTTAGTGACTTTTCAAAGGCTATAACATTTTTTTTAAATTGGTGCTTCTATCCTTGGTTTTACTTACTACGCACGGGAGTAGGGCGCAGGGGGACCACCACCACCCTACTATTTCATAAGGGGGAAAGGAGGGGCGGGATAGCTTTCGCCCCCCTCAAAAAAAATTATTGGATTAAAAAAATAATAAAAAATATTGCGAAATTCTCGGAACTGGAAGTATTTGAAACCGTATATCATATTAATAACGTATCTACAACCGTTCATTGTTATTTTAATAACAACATTTTTGTCTATTAATATTTTGTTTATATTTTGTCTTTTGTCATTGGATCATTGACATTTTGGTCTATGCCGCTTGTTAGGCAGCGGTATTTACTTGCCCAAATAGTTATCATCTAGCCATGTCCATGAAGTAAATATATTTATTGCTTACAAATCATATTAAAAGATTGAAGGGCCTTAACGAAAGTGGTAGAGAAGACCCTGAAAATGCCATTTCCGACGATCTGGAGACTCAAAATTTTCAAAATTGTTCATAGTCGGCCCCAACCACGGTGGCGCCTCGTGTGAGTCGGCTTCCCGAACTTTTACAATCTTCCAACGCCCCTGGTTTCAAGCTCTAACTGTTTCTCAATTAAAGAAGGATATTTTTGTGATAAGCAAATGCACAATTTCTTCTCTTGAATTAATGTATAGCTGTTAAAAACTGGAATGGGTATAGCAGTTTCCGTGCGTGCAAAAAGCTTCAGCATGGCCAGAAATGTGGGACAGTATGGCCGCTAACTATGCGCACAACTGACCAATTTTGCGAATTCAAGATGGCGGAAATGCTAAGAATTAATACTATAATCATACAAATGCGATGCGCATGCTGAAACAAAATATAATTTTCAAAGTGTTTACGTCTAGAAATGTACAAAATACCTCGACGAGTATTCTCCAAAACTCTTGACGTGTCACGATTTGCCATTATTCCGCCCGAGTAACTCAATTTTACAGTATAATCTCGCAATGTAAACTCCTATTAAGTACAGTAAAATCCCCATTGTTTACCAAGTTGAGGCCAATGTAGTGTTGCTCCGAGAATTCGAAGACGAATTGTTTACGTCTACATTTCTTGTACGACAGTTGATCTCTCCTTTTGTATCGATTTAGATTCATCTTAGTTTGTACGCGCTCCGCCAAACGCATTTAAAATAGCGTGTATTTCATGAGAACTGTAAGCTAATACCAAGTGTTTTGGACAAAGCACTGCGAAATCCCAAAACTATGAACGTTTTAAAAGCGTCGTCGTGGCCGCCATCACTCATGGGTTCTTGTCACCGAGCTGTGTATAATAACTGGAGGACCTGCTCCTATACTTCGTTCAGTCAACGAAGTGTCGCCAAAAAAATGGCGGATTTTGATGAAAAATGACGCCATTTCCATGACTACTGGTCCCTAAATTCATGGTAATTGCCACTGAACAAGGCTCAATTATGAGCCCGCCACAGTTTTCACTCCCCCCTGGTTTTTATAAAAATATTTCGGCTTTTTGCAATTTGTAGTGAATCCTTGTTGTTTTGATATTTTCGACATATTTTTTCGCCTGTTGACAATTTGTTCAAAGATGTGGAAGCTGTACACGTTAATTCTCGTCCGTGGAGCGTGAAAGACAACAAACAACTATTAAAACCTTGCGAAATGTGGGCAAAAACGATACTTCAAGCCAGAACAAACATCCGTATTTATCAGACTATAAACAGGTATTTATACATTTAATAAATGGTAGAATGTACTCTATTTTTTAGAAAATAAGCCACGAGTATTTAAAAATAATTTATAATGTGAAAATGCTGTGCTGAGTGGTTATATTACTACCTTAAAAAATAAGCAGAAACTCGACGAAGGGCCTTCGCTCGAAACGTCGAGTTTCTGCTTATTTTTTAAGGTAGTAATATAACCACTCAGCACAGCATTTTCACATTGGTACTACCAACACTGGTACAGACAGTTTTAGTATTTATAATGTGGTTGTAGACGAATCTTTTAATTTTAAAATATAATAATTTCATCCCTCAATCCTAAGGAATTAATGGTTGTACATGTATATGAATTTGACAAATATTTGAGTTGACATGAAACTATGATGTGCTAGTATATTAAAGAGGGAAGTAAGGTTTTATAGATTTAGGTAAGACCGGGTTTTTTCATGCATGAGCTCAGAACTGGTGCTGGAAAAAGCTCAGCTGATCTGAAAATGCATATGTTTTGCCCAAGTTTGCATGTATATTGTGTGCTCTCTGATAGTTTGTTGCATGTATCTTTAAAAGGCCATGCATTAACTTGTTTCCCCATCCCTATAAATATTGGGTTAATTGACTCAACTGCTGGCATATTTCTGGTGTTCCTGAGGTAGGGGCTAATGTGACAGCTAGCCCTAGGCCAGTAAGCAAGGTCTCACTCACTGTGTGGTTATTTTTATAGTGGAAATTCCTTTCAAATTGTATGGACAACCTGACTGGCTCAGTTTTCAAATCTCACCTGAAGAAGGCAAGCTCTCAGTTACACTGGGAAGATATTTTATGGATATAAACACTAACTGGACTGACCTGGTCAAAGTAAAGTCAATACAACATTGGTCATGGAAATATTGTCAAAACAATAGACTGAATTGTGTCGGCAAGGAAATTAATCTGGAAATAATAAATAGTTCTGCCAACCAGGCCAGCCTGGCTTCCATATTGATAGCCCCTATGGCTATAATCTATTCTTGCTTATTGCAGAATGCTCCCACAATGAGTTCATGCCACTGTTGTTAGTGAACCTCCAAGAAGCATGTATTAATTGTTTCAAAATTAATTAAAGACAAAAATTTGCTTGATTTTGTATATTATTTATTTTAATTCAACTTGCATGGTTAAAGAATAATTATCCAATTGGGACGTTCCAGAAAAGATCCACACTCCCCCCACCGAGGAAATTTCTGACGTCCGAAGGGGGAGGGGAGAAAAAATTGTTTCTGATAATAGTAAATGTACGTAATTTCCTCTGTGGGGGTGGTATGGATGTTTTCTGGAATATGACCCATTAGCAGTAAATAATATTAAAACCTAACTGTACAATCAAGTTACATGTAATACTTAACAGTATTATTAAAAAAATAAAACTAGAGCTCATGGGTTATTCTTTGGCTGTTTGTAGTACATACATATAAATAACACATTCCCACAAAATTATAGAGAAAAGTAATTGTTAGTTCTGGCATGCAGTTAAGTCTGGCAAGAGCTAGTGCACCACTTAACTCTTGCTATTTGAACATTCGAAAGAACTTGTATTAATTTCTTGTCTACATGACTTACATCAGATTCACCCTAAATGAGAAATGTCCATTATACATATAAAATAGTGACAGTACCATATGAAGACACTGAAGATGTATTGGGTCACAGATCCCAGACTCCAATTACAAGGAAATTTACTGCAGAGCAGAGCCCAGACAGTTCAGTTAGACATTGACATGTTAACCCATTGAGCACTGAGTGGCTCTCCAGTTCACAAGTAAAATTGTCTGGTGTTAGACAGAGTAAAATAATAAAGTAGCTAGGGTGCATTAGGGCACAATGCAACCTAATGGTTAATTAATATGGTATGTCATTTATAAGCCCGTCTAATATGCCAGGCAATTTTACTTGTTAAGGGGACAATCTTGTCCATTATAAATGGATTAATTGTATTTCTTAACTATCCCAAAGTTTCATTTTACATTACAATATATCAAAAATAATCTATGCAGATATAAGAGAGGAAGTTCATAAATAATGTCTAACTGAACAGTTGGGCTCTACTCCAATACTGGGGATATAATATACCACCACTGAAGATGCTCTCAAATGTACATGTTATCAATCATCGGCAATTTGATTGGTTAATTGTCAGGGCACAATTTTGGTCAATGGCAGCGAATATGCATTGGCTGGCACGTAGACACCCTTCATTCCTACAAATACCTAACTACAAGTCTACAACTCTAATGGCTGTGGAATTTATATAACTCTGACATACTATGTTGGGCAGATGAATACCATATGTAAACCTCTGAATGGGTTATTCCAGAAAACATCCATACCACCCCCACAGAGGAAATTGGAAGTTAACTCCCCTACCCCCTTCAGATGTCCTAATACATTTACAATTATCAGAAACA